TATAATAATATAACATGTGGGTAGCTACCCCCACTTCGTGTTTGTTAGGTTATATCCTTTGTGAAGTATTTAGAGTGTTCGAATACTTTGTGAAGTAATGAATGAGTATCTAAAAAGTAGGTAATGTAACGTAATATTTTAGGAATAATATACCTATCTAAAATGTATCAACAAAAAATAGTTTCAGTTAATTTGTTAGGAATACCTGTATCTACTTATATTTTTCTTATTGTATAATGTTATTCTATACTGGCTTCCACAATTATGTTTTGTAATATCTGATTTTAATAGCCATTACCAAAGTGACAGAGTTTAAGTTCAAGAATTATATTGAGTAGGTAATATGCAATTAAAATCGGAGTTGACAATGGAGCATAATTTATTTATTGCTTCCATAAATTATCAAATAATAAGTACGTAACTCGATTTAATTATTAAGAACAAATGACAAGAATAATTTGGCAGACTTTATCTGATTGAGTGTCTTCGTTAAAAAATTATCTAAAATATGTAAATTACGCTATAATTGATATTAATCTTATGAGTACATATAATTGCGCCTGACGTTATTTAGCTTTTCATCTGAGTCTTACTAAACTATTATTAAACTAAATTTTGTAATCTCTAAAATTACTGCTTGTGGAGAAGACATTTTAAAGTGAATAATTGAAAATTCAATTCAAAGTGGATAATTGAAGATTCAATGAACAACAACGATTGAGATTTGCTAAACTGACACAAGGATTGCTTTTGGTATAAAATACTTATTTATTATATTATTAAAATATAAAGTTCTAGAAATTTAATTAACATTGTTGTTTCTAAAAGAAGTATACAGATACACAATAAATATAAATAAAGAGAAAAAGTAAACACGAACATAAAGTAAATATTGTGTAATAATCGTAATTCAAATGTAATAATTTATTTAAAAAATGCAATGCTAGATGAAGTGGTGGTTTCAAAATTTATATTCCAATTATCGTATCATTTGCTAATAAAGCGATTTTTAATGAGGTTCTATGCACCGTGGACGGTCAAGAATAACAAAATTATATTGGTGGCTCTATCTTCGAGAAAGTCGAGCTTGAAAACACACAGCTAGCACATGATAAACACATAGCTGCCATAATAAATACTTTTCATAGCCAGTGTATAAAATATATTTAAAAAAACAGTTCTCTTTTCACGAGGAATATATAAAAAGGAGCTCAGGACACCTCATTTTGCAAGTAGATGTGAATACAAATAAATTCAACGTAAATATCTTTGTAACTTTTTCTAGGAAATATACAGATTCAAATTTTTCAAAAACTTTTCTTCAATTAACAATTCTCTTTTACAGAAAGAATACGCAAAAGGAAGCTCACATTCAACGTGCAAGCAACCACTATACTCCTCCTCATGGCGGCTCACGCTTCAGAAGTTCTAGGATTAAACCACACTTCCAACAATCCACTCTGTCAGCCTCTTCTTCTCCTGCGACTACTGTCCACACTCGGCACGCGTCTCCTTTTCTTTTCTTCCTTTCTCCAGTGAATTCTCGTCTCATATTCGTCTTTCATTCGCTGAACAAAGTACGCACACACAGCGAACAACACACATTCGCACGTCGAAGGCTTTCGAGCCTTCCCGTTTTACGAAGATTCGCGTGAATCTGTGAAAAGGCAGCCGAGCGTACCGCTCTGGCAAGATGCACGTTGTTTTTCCCCATTTCTTCGAATGTTGGCCATCATGTCGTGGCTCGTTGCACGAGATGGCGGCGTTCGACCTAATTGCGTCGCCGTGATTCACACAAGTTGGAGTTCCGACGCTTTCGACTCTCGAGAGTTCGGTCGGAAACGCTCAGGCTCCGTTTACGAAGCGAGGAAAGTTCCGGGAAAAAACTTGCCGCCGTTGCTAAGGTACTTTTTTAATTACGCTCGCGTATGATGACTGGCGTGAATGGCTTTTTGCGCGCATGCGAACTTGCTAGCCACTTTTTCTCCGTAGTTACAACGAGGGACGAAAAGGACAGGCGTCGGGGCGAGAGTTCACTGTTTGGAAAACGTTGATGATCCTTTTTGCTTCGATTGACTGCTTGAAGAATTGAAGTGTTTTTAACGAGGCGATTAGGAGAGAGAAATGAAGTAGAATGTTTGCGCGTTTCGAGCTATTGCATACTCTTCGTTCCTTTTTAATTGGTTGCGAGTTGTTGATTGTTGTAAATAGCTGATTTTTAGAATTACGTATTATTTTCTAGGGATTGAAAGTTGACTTTTACTGTTGTTGATATTTATGCACATTTATATTTCTACGAGAATCACTAAAGAGATGAAGCCTAGCACAAACCCAAGCAGAAACCTGTTTCACTTAGTAAACATTGCAATTGGTATTTTACTTCCGATTTTTTATGTATTTTTGCGTATTTGAATTCCTTACAGGTGCATAAAAATTATGAAAGTCTTATAGACAAATGAAATGCAACTTAACGTATAACGCAACTTAAGTACCTGTTACGTAACACACTGTTGCGTTAAGTACTTTTAACTAAAAATACGAAATTGGAATTGATTGTATGACATCTTACATATACTTCCATTAATTGATATTTTCTTTGTTTCGAAAGGAACGATATGACTGAGATGAATAAAATAGGAACAACTTAGCGTAGCGCTGCCCACGTGGATTTATTATTATCCACAATACTCGCCGCAAACCTGACAAAAAAACGACGCTGTTCACTCAGTGATGAACAATGTCAATTTTACTCGTACATCTTATATTTCCTACTCAACTATGTGTTTCCTTGGACTTTTGTTAGACAGCTGCGTATAATGTTGACGTTGCCTCAACAAAGCCTACTCTGTTGGCACGCGCTTTGCGGACTTCGCTCGTAACTGTAGATGTACATATTTTATAATGCGATTTTATTTCCTACAATATAAATATTCCTACAATTGGGGGGGGGGGGTA